CCATTTCCTTCAAAGCAGCCTGAACTTCCTCCTTCATCACCATAGGCTCTTGCTCATATGTTGTTTTATGAAATTCTTGACTCAGTATATTCCTTCCATCTTCTTTTAATACTTCCGGGATCATTTAACATTCTGCCAAAAGCGTCCTTGATTATAGCAACTTGAGGTTTGAATTTGTTCTTCAGTTCCTTGAGCTTAAGATATGCTGAGCGAGTTCGGCCCTTTTGATTTTCTGACTCCAACTCCTTGGACATTTCATTGTAATATTTTGCTTTGTCATCCCGTGCTTCCTTTTGAAATCTTCTATTCAACTCTTTAGTATCTTGAATTCTGTTGTTCTACAACAGAACAAAAGAGCATGCTAAACGTTAATCAATAGAATAGAGACTGCTGAATACACTGAAGAAAAACAATCTGTCAAAAAGAGGAGTTCTGAGAGTCCAGCATGTTCAGTGTCAGACTGCTAACCATAAGGTCAGTGGTCTGAATCCACCAGCCGCTGTGCAAGATAGGCAGTATCCTCCTGTAAAGATTTACAGCCGTGGAAACTCCGTGGAAGATTAGTTTGTCAAAGAGAATACAAAACACATATGTTAAGGACGTTTATCAAATAAACACAGCCTGAATCTTGTTTAAAGTTGGATTTTAAAAAAGAGCAAAGTGGATAAAATTTGAAGATTGGTTGGCTATTTGGTGATACTGAGAGATTATTTATTTCTTCAAAGTATGACAATGATGTTATTCTGGTCACTATTTTCAAGAGACTCCTTATCTTTCAGAGACAACATCCAAGTATTTGTGGATGAAATGGTTCAAAGCCTGATATCTGCTTCAAAATAATCTAGGGGTGGGAGAGGGAAGTAGACAGGTGAGGATGTGGGGAGGGGGGCTTAATCATAGGGTCTTACAATTTCATGGGTGGTGGGAGGGGTGGATAAAGGAAAGGAGATTTGGTGTGAAAACAATGTATATGAACTTCGTAAGTAAAGTACTATAACACACACACACACACAAAATTTATTTTAAAAGGAAAAAAAATCTAGAGGTGGTGTGCTGAAGATGAACCATGATGACTGTGCTATTTCCCTCTTCCTTTTACATTTCTGAAAACTTCCATCTGAGTGATAGCTCCGTCATCCTCAGATCCCAATCTAAATCAAGCTCCAACAAAAGTCCTAAGACTTAGGCAGCTCTGGTGGCCTAGTGGTAAGGAGCTGCAACTACAATCGCAGAGGCGCACAGTTCGAATCCACCAGATGCTCTGCTGGGAAAGGAGGGTCAATCTCCTCCTGTAACAGTCAGATCTGATTTGACGCTACACTCACACAAAAATAATAAAAATTTAAAAAAAAAAAAAAAAAAGGCCCAAGACTACAGAAACTTTCTGGAGATCTTTCCACCCACATACTTGTGTGTGTCATCATACCTTGCAGGCCAGGTATGCCATGTTTCTGCAGCCACTCATGCAAAGTACAGGTGGTACTCCAGTGGCTGGGTGTGGGGCAGCACTCACCCACCACCAATCCTGCCACATGGATCCCCGAGGACTCGAACCACTGCAGAGAGGACAGGGTGAAGAGGAGCTCAAGTCTAAGTATCTCCCTATATATTTTTTTCTCCCATTATATGGTCACAGGTCCTCTACTTCAGTTACACTTCACCTCTACCAAACATGTCATAGCTTCCTTTGCCAACAATGTTGTCCCTTGCATTAAATGTTAACACATGGGCTGAACCTTCATTACAGAATCGTGAACTCAAAAGCAAGGTGCCTGATACACAGACAGCATCAGCAGCCAATGTGTACTGGTGCCTGCGAGGTGCCAGGCACTGTTAGAGATGCTAAGGATAGAGCAATCAGTAAGAAAAGACAAGGTCTGTATCTTCACCACAGTTATTTGCTTTGGAGAAAGACACAAATTAGCATGCAAATCAACAAAATGATTATGGAATGTGATTAAAAACAAAGCACCAAGAGACAGGAAGGTGACTGATAGATCACTAAAATAAAAATAAAAAGGGAGTTCTGGTGGCTAGGCTGAAAGAGCCCACTGCTTAAGGGTAGGCCAAGTCTCTCTGGCAGTTAGAATCCACCAGCTGCCCTGAGGTTATGATAAAGATCGCCTTCCTCTCTTCTCCAGGGAGATTCACAGCCTCTTGAAATACGTGAGAGGGTCAGCTATGAATTGGTTTGAACGAGGAAAGCAACGAGGATGCTAAAATGGCAAAACACTGATGAAAGGATGTTTGATTTTAAGACTGCTTCTTATGTATCTGAAGGACAGTTGATAGGCATCTGAAGGCAGATGTTAACAACAATCTGAGCAAAACCGGTTTTAAGGAACACTGTGGCTATGGTGACTTCCATTACTACTTAAAAAAAATAAAAAAAAAAAAAAAATCAAACACCAGCCAACTTTCTAACTCAGAAAGCATCTTGGCCTCCAAATTCCTGAGTAGGAGGAACAATACAACTTAAGTGAATGTCAAGAGGAAATAAAGTTTTCTTACCTAAAGGTAAGTACACTAGAAAAAAAAAAATCTGAAACCATCTATGCCTGCACTACCTGTATTACTCTGCCAGAGTGCTGCTGAATGAACAAAGAAGGAGGGTCTTGAGTTCCCACACACGAGATTATCAAAGTATTTACTAATTTAACGACTTTCTTATTACTTCAGTGTTCATCTCTGTTCTCCCCAGCTTGCACAGCTGAATGCCAATGTCTTAGCCGTTAATTACAGACTTGAAAAAGAATGGAGAGAAAGCACTGGGAATGTACCTTGCTGAGACCAAACTCATCCACTTCATCCGGGGGGATGCCGTAATTGCCTATCAAAGGGTATGTCAGAACCAAAATCTGTGCTTTGTAGGAGGGATCGGTGAGGGCCTCGGGGTAGCCCACCATGCCGGTTTGAAACACTGCAAGAAAGAGGTAGAACACGCCCCCACGAGATAAGAAAGCTCCAGCTGGAGGAGGCTGCCCGGGGCATGGGGGTGGGAAGGGTTGGGTCGGGGACCAGGGCGCCAAAAGGAGAGGAAGGTATGCAGACCGGAAAATGGCGGGGTCTGGGCAGGGGAGACTGGCTGGAAGCGGCATCTGAGTGAGCTGCAGCCGGCAGCCTGCCCAGACCTGCTTACCCACTTCCCCGGCAGCCGAAACAGATGCCCCAAAGGGTTGGCCCCGCAGGACCGATCCATCCTCCAACACCAGGGCCGCCATGGGAGCGAGGCTCGCGCTCCGAGGCAGGGTCGAGCACGGCCAAGCGGGGAAGCGCTACGAGTGCGGGCCGGCCCTCCGAACACGTGAAAACGCCGCGCCAGGGGGGATCCACGTGGCTAAGACACCGAGACTGAAACCGCTGCGGGTGTGGACCGCGGAGGAGCCGGATGCGACAGGGCGGAGCCGGCGGGCGCGGGCT